CAAGCACACACATCTTGCCTCACACAAGTGCTTTTGGTGCGACAATATGGTGTAGTGACCAAGAACACATTCCTAAGTCAGACAGGTTGGTTTGACTTCCAGACATGCTACTTTGTTGAGAAAGCGTCTTTGCCACTTGGGTCCTCAGTTTCCCTATACATAAAACAGGAATAGCAATTCCTGCTTCATTGGGTTGTTCAGAAAAGCAGACAAGGTGATACATCTAAGCAGGGTTTGGCATCTACCAAGCCCTTTTAAGCCCGAGCTGTGCTATGCTCCTCAGCAATGTGTGCTGAGCAATGAAACTAAGTGGGGAGGCTCAATAAGTCTCCAATGTCAGCAGATGTTATCACTGTCCGTCATACTTCCCACTCTGGGCTAGATGCTCCAGAATCAAAGCTGCATAAACCACACTCTATCTTGTGTCTCCAACATTCTACCCAAATGCCTGGCACACGACTGGTACCTGAAAAGTGCTGTGGAATTGAAAAGACTTTTAAATCCAGGTGTGTGAACTGTATGTGCTCACATGACTTTGAAGGGAAAACACCATAAACCATATATAGTATGACAAAGAAGCATATGCTTATCATTTTATTCTTAAAAACAAAGAGAACATATTTTGTGTTCTTCAATGTTTTTTAAAAGGTTTCAAACATAGCTGTCACACATACCTGTGGTAATGCATTTAAAAAAAAAAAAAACCTTTTGTAGATGAACAAATTTAGGATGGGGTCGGCGCCACCCAGGTCACATGCCTTGCACCAGGTCACAAAGGTGATAGGAGAGAGCACAGTAGGTTGTAAATTCAGAACTGCTGCTCTTTCAAGGACACATCTGCCAGTGTGACTACTGCCTAAGGGAGTCCCCTGTCCACATATGTCCCATCCAAGGAGAAAGTAAGTTCCAAATGGTGTATGAAAAGCCAGCGTGTGTGTCAGAAAGGGCCCAGATTTGCAAGCTGCCTCAGAGTGGTGAAGGAAAAGAAAAAAAAGCAACTGAACAAGCCCCCAGAGGTGCAGAAACACAAGTGACCTCAGCTTGGGGATCCATATCTACAACCAGATTTTAATTTATAAACACTGAGATAAAAAAGCTTGTGAGTGCCTAGTTTTGCTTTTACTGAAAAAAAAAAAAAAAGATCTCATATCTCACCTATACCACCACTAAACAGCCTCAGGGACAAAGTCTTAAAATGAAAATCAAGTAACCTAAAACACTGTCACGGGACTTCCTCTGAAGGCGTTTATGCAGGCTCAGCTGTGATCAAAAAGATCATACACCATGATCAAGTCGGTTTCATTCCAGGGATACACAAATCAATAAATTCAATACAGCATGTAAACAGAAGCAAGGACAAAAACCACATGATGTTCTCACTAAAAAAGGCAGAAAAAGCCTTTGACAAAATCCAACACCCTTTCATGATGAAAGCACTGAAGAAACTAGAAATAGAAGGAATGTTCTTCAACACAAAAAAAGCTACATTTTACAAGCCTAGAGCCAACATCATATTAAATGGAGAACAACTGAAACTGTTCCATTTACAGTCAGGAATGAGACAGGACTGTCAGCTTTCTCCATTCCTATTCAACATAGTTTTGGAATTCCCAGCCACAGCAATAAGACAAGAGCAAGAAATAAAAGGTATTCAAATAGGGAAGAAAGAAGTCAAACTATCCCTATTTGCAGATGACATGATCCTATACCTAAGAGATCCCAAAAACTATCAAAAAGCTACTAGAAATCATAAACTGTTTTGGCAAAGTAGCAGTACAAAATTAACATACATAAATTAATAGTTTTTCTATATACCAACAGCACACAGACTGAGAAAGAAATCAGGGAAACAATGTTATTTACAACAGCATCAAAAACAATAAAGTTCCTTGGAATAAATTTAATTAAAGAAACCAAAGACCTTTTTAATGAAAACTGTAAACCACTGAAGAGAGAAATCGAAGAAGACATCAGAAGATGGAAAGACCTTCCATGCTCGTGGATTGGTAGAATCAACATTGTGAAAATGGCCACACTACCAAAAGCAATCTATATGTTTCCACCAAATCCACCAAAATTTCAATAGCATTCTGCACAGAAATAACAAAATCAATCCTGCAATACATATGGAAACACAAAAGACCTGGAATAGCCAAAGCAATTCTGAGCAAAAAATCCAATGCTGGAGGCATCACAATCAATACCCGACTTCAAACTGTACTACAGAGCCATAATAATAAAAACAGCACAGTATTGGCACAAAAACAGACAGAAAAAACAATGGATCAGAATAGAAGGTCCAGACATAAACCCATGCATCTATAGCCAACTTTTTTTTAACAAAGGAGCCCAAAACACACAATGGAGAAAAAAGAACACCCTCTTCAACGAATGCTTCTAGGAAAGTTAGATATACACATGTAGAAGACTGAAATTAGATCCCTGTCTTTCACCCTGTAGCAAAATCAATTCAAAATGGATCAAAGACCTTAATATAAGGCCTGAAACCCTGAAATGACTCCAAGAACCAATAGGAAATACACTGAAACAGGTAGGTATAGGGAATGACTTCCTAAACAGAACTCAAAAGGTTCAGCATCTAAGAGAAACACTGAACAAATGGGACTACATCAAACAAAAGCTTCTGCACAACAAAGGAAACAGTCATGAGACTCAAGAGACAGCCCACAGAATGGGAGAAAATCTTTGCCAGCCACTCATCCCATCAGGGACTAATAGCCAGAATCTACAGGAAGCTAAAAAACTCAGCCCCCAAAGAATCAACACCCCAATTAAGAAATGGGCACATGAATCAAACAGAGAATTCTCAAAGGAAGAGGTACAAATGGCCAGTAAATAAATCAAGAAGCAACTTCCCTGGTTATAAAAGAGATGCAAATCAAAACAACACTTAGATTTCATCTCACCCCAGTTAGAATGGCCATAATGAAGGGTAATAACAACAACAAATGCTAGCGAGGGTGTGGCAAAACAGGAACCTTCACAAACTGCTGGTGGGAATGCAAGTTAGTACAACCACTATGGAAAGCAATATGGAGATTCCTCAAAAACTAGAGATAGAATTGCCATAAGGTCCAGTGAATCTAGTGATCTTATATTCTAGCCAAAAGAATGTAAGACAGGGTACAGTAGGAGACACCTGTACACCAATGTACATCGCAGCACTATTCACAATAGCCAAGCTTTGAAAACAACCCAGGTGCCCTACAACTAATGAATGGATCATGACATTGTGATACATATACACATGAAGTATTACTCGGCCATAAGGAATAATGACATGAGGTGTGAAGGTAATTGGATGCAACTGGAGGATATCATGCTAAGTGCAGTTAGCCAGGATCAGAAACACAAAAGCTGCATGTTTTCTCTCATATGTGGAAGATAGACCCAAAGATAAACATATACACAAAAACAAGCATGATCATATACAAACTCATGATGTAGAATGTGTTTGCAATAGTGGAATTACTATATGGAACTCGGGGAAAGAGGGAAAGGAAAAGAGAATGATAGCATATCAGTAATATCTCATACCATAAGACACAAAGGTAGAGGATATAAGGATGTGTACTGAAAACTGTTGAGACAGGAGGTAGGAGGTAAAGGGGTAAGGGAGAGTACTCAAAGAGATTGAACAGACCAATGTAAAGCATACCCACAGTGGGCATACATTGAGACACCCCTTTGAATATTAACTTAAATATTAGTAACAAAAATCAGGACTGATAAATAGGCACAGTATGTGAGGGGTGGGTACAACTGGGAGGGGGGAGGGTGAAGGAAGGAGATTAAGGTGACAGTATATGGTTATGAACTTCATATACCTATATGAAACAGAACCAAAGAAACCTCTTACGATTGCTTTAAGTGGGGTGGGGAGGGGGGTTGAGAGTGAGAGATGATGAGAGCAATATAAACAATGTACAATATAAGTCTAATCAGAGTTGTCACTATCAATCCCCCCATATAATGAATATATCCTAATAAAAATGTATAATAAAAAAGTTTGTGAGTGCCTAGTCTTGCTTTTACTGGAAAAAAAATAGATCTCATGTCCTGTCTTTACCATCACTAAACAGCCTCAGGGACAAAGTCCTAAAATGAAAATCAAGTTACCTTAAACACTGTCACGGCACTTCCTCTGAAGGCATTTATGCAGGATCAGCTGCAAAGGTTTATCAGGAAGCCAGGCTGATACTGGGACATATCACCAATGGATAAAAGGCAAAAGACACTTAAGCATGAGTGGCTTCTAAAATTGAAAAGCTAATTAAACTCAGCCTTCCCGAAGAGAAAAAGTAAAGTTAGAAAAGGCAAAAGCTAGCAAGAAAGTATATTCTTATAAGCATAATAAAAGAAGGGAGAACAGAGAAATCAATTGGGTTCATCACTTTTAAAAGTGAAAGACATTTGATTTTTTTCTAGTTAATATTCAGAAAGCAACTATGGACCTTGGTGTGTATTCTACTTCCCTTGAATTCATTTCCACATAAATACACTGGGCACTATCCAAGGTATTACAGATTAGGGAGGAACTGGGATTAA